GACTCAACATATATGAAAAGTTTTTCGAAAATAAACAAGCAGGTGGGTGTGTAGTTGTATGGGGGCCCTAAGCTTTATAGCCCCTGTCCCCATCTTGGCTTCAGCCCTTGCTGCTACTAACATTTCTCATGAAAAGGAACATGATCTGAACCTTGAACTAAAACGCTACTCTAAGAAACACACAGCAGATCAGAAACTCTCCTTGATGCTGTAATGACTCACTCATTGAAACTAAGTGCTGACATGGTGAGGCACCTGCAGCACTTCAATAAAACTACCAGATATTTGCCAACAAATAACTGCTTGTGTTAAATAAAAATCTACTAATTTGCTGCATATGGTCTGCTCTTTCAATCTTTCTGAATGTGTGACTTTGTCACTCTGCCATTTTCATATGAAATTATTAAATGTAATGCTCTGGTGGGAAGAAAAGGTGTGAAATAAATCTTTTTTTTTTTCTTTTTTTTTTGACTGAAGGATATATTTTCAAAGACTAGAGGAAGCAGAGCTCTTAAATTTTTAAGGAACTGCCGGGACCTGAAATGTTTCTGTCCAGGTACATCCAGGCGTGATGATCTTAACTCCAACCCCCAGAGCTGTCAAAGGCTCCAAAATATACTGCAAATCCCTGGATTACTAAAGGGAACAAGCTGATAGGGTGAAGAGGTTTCTTTCATCTCAGTGAACAGCTCTGAAACGAGGCCTCTGTGACTAAGATTCAACATTAAAAAAAAAATTAAAACAATCAAATGAAGGGGTTTTTATTTGATTTTACATCCTGTAGAGATTTTTTTAGAGCTATAATTTTGCAGAACTCATTCAATATCATAATATTCTTTAATAATACCATGTGTCTGTGTTACACATCTAGAATCACACACTTCACAGAAACCAGGTCTAGATTAAAATATTGTGTGCATATGTTTCTAATAAAAATATCTTGGAAAGTAGGTTTCATATAGCAGGGCCATATAATGCTCTAACTGTTTTTTCGAATCTAACTTGGGAGTGAAAAAAGCTAACTACATCTGCTATTCAATAATAAACACAGTTACAAATTAGAGGCATTGTTAATTTGTTCTAAGGTGGGATGAAATGAGTGGAGTTAAATCCTGAGATTTGTAATTAACTGACTGATTGTAATCTGTGTGCTGAATGGGTGAGTAACAGCAGGGGGCCAACAACTTATTTCTCTCAGGAAATGTAAATCAAACTTTTATGTGATTTTTTTTTCTGAACTCTACTAGATATTCTGTCTCTAGAATAAATGAAACAAACACACAAAAAGAAGAGGCTGCTCATGTCAGGGTCTTTTTTGTGGCCATTGTGACGCCGCGTTGAACAAAGTCGGTGGAATTCTGAATCAACTTTACCTCAGATAACATCCAGCCTGTTAAAGCTCAGATGGATTTGTGTTCTAAAAGGACAATTATCCCAAACACACATCAAAAGTTATTTTGTGATGGAGGAAGCAGGGTGATATTAGAAGTAGAAAGGAACTGAAAATGTGTGCATTATGCTTCAAAGGAAAACAATTTAAGGTCTGATTTGTCAGATCCATCATCATAACCTGCAAAAGTGTGCGGTATCTTAGCAACTTGTTAAGGGACAATTTATGCAGTGATGGGTAGAGTATCTATAAAATTACATTCACGCAAGAGTAGCACTTATATTATATTTCATAAAGTAAAAGTGAAAGTATCTGTCCAAGAAATTACTCAAGTAAGTGTAAAAGAAAATTTATGTGGTAAAAAGTTTACTTACATACTGAATAACTGGAATATTTTTAGGAAAAAAATAAAAATAACTATAGATAATAACAATAATATTATATTAAAACAATGTAATCAGACAAAATCTGTCTGATGACATTATGTGTGAGTTCTGATATTTTAGGAACTAAACTGAAAAAATAAATAAATAAATAAAATTGTGAAATAAAATTAGACAGAATTTTTTGTTTCCAAATCTTTTTTGTTTTCAACATAAAACTTATGAAACCAATGCTTACACTAGGTAATGTATACAGCTGCAGAACTAAATAACAGACCACTGCACTGAACCACTTTATTATTCTACCAAATATTAATTTCTGAACTCTTCCTGAGTTTAAATATTATTATTGTTGTTTCTAAATGAATATGAACTTGTTTTCTCTGCATTATTTGAGGTCTGAAAGCACTGCATCTTTTTCGTTATTTTGATCAATTCTCAGTTTCTGCAAATAAATACAAAATTTTTTGCTTGGAATTTCAGAGACATAATGTCAGTAGTTTATAGAATAAAAGAACAATGTTCATTTTACTCAAACATATACCTACAAAGAGCAAAATCAAAGAAACTTGTAACATAATCACAATATTTGACTAAATAAATTAAAAGTAAGCATACTGTTTCTTTAGAGCAGTTTCAACTGATTGTTGAATTATCCTAAGTTTCCACTGTTTAAAACTGATTTTTGGGCAGCATCAAGCTGGCTTTAGACGTGGTTGTGATAACCAGATAAAAAGGTGTGTGTGTGTTTGTGTGTATGTGTGTGTGTGTGTGTGTGTGTGTGTGTGTGTGTGTGTGTGTGTGTGTGTGTGTGTGTGTGTGTGTGTGTGCTGCACAGATATGACACTGTCATATCTGTGCAGCAGGAGATATGCCTTTATGAATGTTTGAAACAAATAAAAAAAATGAAAGAAAAGACATAAACGCCAGTCAGAGTTCGCCCCAGCGCCACAGATCGTGCGTTTGGAAGCTGGATCGGAATCTTGCACCCAGGAAACGCCACTCAGTGCGAGAGGACGCCACTGAGGGGAAAGAAAGATACTCCCGATGAGATCTGGAATTTATTTTCCTTTTTGCAGATTTTTGGTGGTACCACTATTTTTTCTCATCTTTTTGGGGGGGATTTTTTTTTTTTTTTTTCATTTTGGATTGGGACTTTGGATTGAAATGGGGGGATATTTTCAGGACTTTGTTTATTTGAGGTTACGGACCCTATTGTGTCTACATTAGTTTGATTAAAGCAAACTGACATTTTTGGACATTTATTTATATACTGTACTGACATAAACTGAGTGATTTAAATCTAACCTTTTTGAGCGATTTTTGGTTACAGAACTGCCATTTATCAGAATAACTATTATTGTTTCTTAGTGTTATGGTTTTTTAATAAATCATTGTTGCTAAAAATCAACAAATTGTTAGCAAAACAAAAATTTGGTTGAATATTTATTTTCTTATTAAACTAATAGATGTAACATATTTTACCTGACTCCTGAGACAGAACCTTCTTGATGAAATTGTGAGTTCTGCTTTAAATCAATAATTTTAAGTGGTCCTTATGGCTTTCCAGAGCTGTATGTATTAGAACAGGGTAAAATACTTACAGTGGTGATATGTATTCTTGTAAATTGACTTGATATTTAAATGGCACAACAGAAGTCTCATCTATACTGTAGTTGTTTGTATCAGGTGCATTTTTGGTTTAAACAGGTTTGTTCATTCAGTGAAGAATCTCACAGTGGGAAAAAGAGCCAGAAATGTTACCCAAGTAAGAGTAGCGATAATTCATAATATTTCAGAATCAGAAATATAGGAAATGCATAATCCAAATATTACTGGTGATGTATCTATATATTTGAGCCGGAATGTATATTTTTGATAGAGAATAATAAACACAGTTTATTATATCCCCAATAAATTAAAATTTGTCCACTTGATTTTATTTTTTAAACCCTTCATTTTGATAAGGCTTTAAAACGCCTAAAGTATCATGATATTAATGCACATCCACGACTGTGATGACTTCTCAGTCTATCTTTTAAACATATAAAATTCTGGTTTGTTTTGTTTTGTTAGATTGACTACATATTAATTTGTATATGCTCATATCCATGTTTAACTCATGTCATTACAATAGAAATAAACCTGCATATTTTCACGTATAGCTTTTCTACATATATCATACTACATTCTCATCACAGCAGCACGTGCCCTTCTGTTGCTCCGCGCGCTCGGACACCTCAGCAACCTTCTCAGAATGTGTGGGCATGCGCAATGGCTTCGAACAGGTGCATGACGTCCATCCGTTCTTTGTCAATATGGAAATGAAACACAGTCTGCATTCATTTCGCCGACTGTTGCGCAGGTGCAAACACACAGGGAGGCCAACTCGGTTAGCATTATATCAGAAGTAGTGTCTACCGACTGGGAGAAAATAAGGCGCACGAGTCTGTCGCGTGCGGAACGTTCTTAACCTCGACATGCAGTCCTGAGATTGGACAGTAAATGATTCTGATGGGTGGTAATGGGATTTCTCTACGCGGACCCTCAAAGAGCCAACAAATGACGTCAATAGTTGAATTAGCAAACAACAAAGTGTATGTACCACATGCTGAGCAACAAAGAGGAAAGCCTTAGCTTGTGAACCCGTATGAGGGCTACCCACTGATATAAACTATGCACGACGTTCAGCCATGGCAGAAGAGCGACGTGCTGATGCGCTCACCTGCCTGCCCCCCGGGCACCTGTATCCGGACTTTTCCCGCCTTTGAGATGCAGCAGGACGGTCAGAGCGTTCACCGATGGTCGTCTGTCAGTTGCTGAGGCGCAGCGGAGCTTGTGTGCCGTCACTTCAGCAGCAGCCCCCCTCACAACACACGCACACACACATACACAGCTATCTTTACCTTGCCTACAACGGCGCGCGTGCCCTTACTAACGGCTCCATTGACCAAAGGGGCCGCCTCTACGCACCGGTACGGTTTCCAAAGGGAAGCCCGAGAAGCCTCGGTGATGTCAAAACGCGTGTTTAGCCAGGTAGACCTGAGCGAAGTTAAAGGTCCGTCGGCTGGCGTCGACGAGAACCCATACAGGAGCCGCAAACCGAAGAGACGGACTTGCAAATGCTTTGCAAATGTGCGCGGCAAATGATTATAGTGACATCTAGTGGTAGAAAATGTAACTACACTTACAAATCCACCTCTGAAAAAAAAAAGAGCATATCAAACTTTTTTTAAATTCCACTTAGATCTTTATTGTGAAGAGACTTTTATAGATACAAATTATTTACAATTTTAGAGAATCGACAGATACATATAGTTACTGTCCGAAAACAAACAAACAGAAAAAGAGAGACGTTGATTTGCATGCACATTAGACAATTAAATATTGAGACTGTCTCCAGTGGCCAGTGCAGGTGCTCTCTTGAGAAATGTTTTGATTGGTGGGTTGGGGGAACTGGGTAGCTGGTTAGATTCAGTCTGGGCTTATTCACCATGTGCCAGCATAGTCGGAGCTGCAAGACAAAAAAATAGGGCAAACCCTGTAAAAATACCTAGTATATATAAAATCACACCCTTCCCTTTATATTGTGTTTTACTGATTGATTTTAATAATTGATGATTCAATATATACAAGACTGTCCTTGTATATATTGCATTTCTACCTTGACAGATTAAACTGACTTTAGGCATGAAAATGGTCATTATTTCTAAACATCAGTGTCTGCTCTTTGGGTGAATTCCCCATGTTTTCTCACCGTGGCTCGCCGTCTTGGTCAGAATTTGCGCCCAGCAGCAGCCAGGCTACTGCCTCCTCAGGGGAAGATCTCTTTCCATACCTGGAGAGAAAGAAAAGAAAAATCAAACACTTGCTTGTAATGACCACAATCAAACATCAGTGGGAAAGTCTCCAATGTCCTCCTTCTCTTTGCTTTACAAAGCCTGGAGGCATGACCCCATCAACACTTTTATAAATTTCAACCTTGGGGAATACGTTTTTTTTTCCCCTTCCCCCCAACTTTGCTCACTAAGCTGTGAACAAAGATGGGTAAACTGCACACACTCCCATGACGCCTTTGTGCATGCCCTGGCAATCTCGTGCAGTCCAATCACAAATGAGATGTGCAATTATCTGAGAAGAAAATAAGGGTTTTCAAGTTCACCGGCTGGCAGGTGGACTGGTCTTCTCTGACTGTGTGCTGAAGAGCAAACCGTGCGTCTGCCTGGGGCGTGAGGCGGCTGCACTGGCAGATCCAGGCAGTTTAATTACAGAGGAAAAGAGGCTAATGCTAAGACTATACACAGCTTCCATCACAGGACAATTACACAACCAGGAAGCTAAATAAACGCTCTGGTTTTATTCAGTCTTTTCACCCAGCATGAACCAGTGATGAGGCATTGAAGGCGTCCAGCTTGGCCAACATCAGTATTTCACGCCTCGCAATTTAGATGCATGGCATGACTTTATAAATACTAACCCAGCAGTTAGTTTCAGTTGTTTCTGAAACTAAGCCCAACTCTTAGTGGAGGTTTTTAAACAAGATGAGGTGAAGCAATCGTAGGACATGACGTCATTTATTCCCCAAGAGGAAGTTGAGATTGTGTTATGGGTGATATGACTCTTTGTCCAGAGAAGCATAGCCTGGGGCCAACATGAGGCAATAAGATAGTTATTTTCCAGTTCCTAAACATGTTTTCTATTGCTTATCTGGACATACGGTCAAAGCAAGTAAAGTTGATTATTTGGATATGATTTTAGTTATGGCTAAGGCCGGGCCAGGGAGTCTCGGCCACTTTGATCATGAACTTACGCATTTAAACTGGTCAGACATTTGATGGATCATTCTGTTGTTTAAAACACAACCTCTGAATTATCAAAACTGCATTCTGTTTGTCAAAAACATTTTATTTTTGCATTAAGCTGACATTAAAACAGATATGCTGACTGATCAGACAGGTTTATCTCAGAATAAGGCAGCCTGAAAATATATATGGCTCATTGAAAAAAAGGTTATTTTTCTTATCAACCAGTTGTTTACTCATCTAAATCAATTAGAAGCATTTTTCAGTAAAAACAATTTCTATAAGATAATAAAGGTTGCTATAAATAATTTGTTTGTTTGTTTCAGAAGAGGCTCTGTAGTGTTGGAGGTGGTGATGTTGGGTGGGTTTTATAGGGACTGAAGAAGGTTTTCAATGTAAAATAAAATGTATCTGTACTTTTTGAAAGAATCTAACTGGTGTTAAAATAATTTTTTGCTTTTCTTCATTTTCATGAAATAAAAACATTAAAAAAAATAATGACACCCTGATCTTCTGGACTGACCTTTGTCTAGTGATGAGGTTGATGTAATGCCTGACAGCTGTGTGGTACTTGGCCCACTCCTCCGGAGAGGCGTTGCTCTCGGGTCTCTCCGGTTTGGGAGGGTAGGCGTCCGCGAAGCCGCTCCAACACACCAGCAGGCAGACGACCAGAGCCGCGAACATCACCCACGATCTCAGCAATTTGGCCATCTGAGAAGTGAGGCTTGGGTTAGGCTTCCAGGGTCAACTTTTTTTTTTTTTTTTACATCATCAACCAAAAAACTAAATAAATGAAAAGTCGAAATACGAGTTTGCTTTCAAATTGAATCTAGCATGTAGTTAATCTGACAGTAAATTGAGCACACAACACGCAAAAAGAACACTTTCCGCAAATAAATCATCAGTGAACAGAGTGAAAACTTACAGTTGAACTTGTCCTGTGGTTCGGTCACCTCGTTGCTCCTGTCCTGTCCTGCTCTCCTCTCCGGTCCGTGGCGTTATATAGCGTGGGGACCGGTACCTGATGCGCAGTGGGAACTTAACCACACCCCTCCGCTGGAAGAGCGGCGCGTAAAACGCCTCGTTTATCTGCACAAAACTTATCAGCTCACGCTCAAACTCGAACGTCAGCGAATGCATCACTTAATTTATCATTAAAACGCAATACCGAGAAAGCCACGGTTTTAATTGAAGGCTTAATTTGTGTGTGTGTGTGTGTGTGTGTGTGTGTGTGTGTGTGTGTGTGTGTGTGTGTGTGTGTGTGTAATGAATATTGAATTGAAATGTGGCGAAGTGTGAGGCTGTTAAAAAGACATGACAAATTAATTTTTCTCCTGTATTTTCATATTTTTTACTCAATTGTGGAGGAAAGAAGTTGAAATATTACTGATGGAAGTACATGGGTAATTATTTCAGCACCACGGACAGCGCAAGAACAGCTTATTAAAATCAATACACCTCCTGTTGGAAGCTGAATTCTCGTGTAAGTTAAGAGCAGATGACCTCACAGCAATAAGCCTCCTGCTCATCTACAGTAATGCTTCTTACTCAGCAGAGTTATGGAATATGAGAAACAAGACGCGCACATCATTTTTTTATACTGGATCAGTGTGACTGCAACGTCTGACTAGATGGGAATCGAACTTGTTTTTACGTGCCAGAAATGACTTTTTTGTTTTGTGATTTGGCGCCGTGTAATGTAACTGAATAGGAAGCAAAACGGTCCACACGCACACACACAGTCGTGTTTTCCTGACTTGTGGGAACTTTACATTGACTTACATTCATTTTCTATCCCTAACCCTAAACTTAACCGTCACGTCATAACCCCTAACCCTATAGCACAATTTCCTCTCATGAGGACCAATAAAATGTCCCCATAAGGAGCAGTTTATAAATTATAATTATAAATTAAAATATTACATCAGACAAATATATAAAACAAACATTTTAGAATACAGAAATGTGTGTTTAATAAAACTATGCTTAATACCTGGTTATTTTCAAAAGGTACTTTTAATCTGACAAATGAGCCTCAATGACTATGACTGTATGTACTGTAGAGATAAAAAAAAAAATAATCGCTCTTTAATGCCAATACTGGATGATGGGTTTTAAAAGAAAAGTTGTGAATAGTTTGTTATATAGAGACTAATTCTGTCCACATTGAACCAGTCTAGATATTTATCTTTTTAAGCTTAAGTCAATTTAAACAGGCCCAAAAATAAATACATATTTATTTTTTACTAACAGAGAAAATGGTTCAAAAATATCCCATAGAACATCACTTCTTACTGTGAAATGATGCAGATCAGGTTTGACCAATCTAAGCTTTTATTTTTTTATTTATAACAAATGTTGAAATGCAGCTAAAATTCTTTTAGTTCGAGGTGGAATCCAGAACCATAAATCAGATGAAGCCACTTTTAGCATCAACAGGTGTAGTCAGACAGATTGAATCTGGTTCTAAACTGACTGAATGGACCCGGCGTCCCCCCAAGGTCATGCGGCCTGAGGTAGTGAGCCACACTGCCTTTGTCAGCAACAACAGCTACATGCTGGCAGGATATTCAGATATTCAAAGGTAAAAAATTAAAGGTTCACTGCAACAAGCCAAGAACAGCTGAGAGAATAGATTATAAACATGGTTTATTTTTATATCTGAAGTCATAAAAAATAAACAACCAAATAATATGTTTTCAGCCACTGACGCTGTTTTTTTTATTTATTTTTTAATATATTTTAAAATTCATAACTTATCAGGTTGAATTAATCCGTTAAAGAGCAGCGAGGACTGTTTTTGATTGAAGCTCTGAACAAATGACAATTAATTAGTGGGAAATGAATCTCCTCCAGGAATGATGAGTTTGTTCATTTTCTGGTGCAGCTTTGCTCTCATCAGAGCGGCATGTATTATTCAGTTGGTGATGAAGCGTCTGAAAGGCCGGAGAGGCTACACACTGATCAATAATACTACTCTGTTTGACACACACATACAGGTGTAGAGAGTTTTATGGAAAAACATTTAAGATGCTGTTACTGACAAACAACAGGACCAAGCCGTAGTTACAGAATGCTTTACCAGTCTGCATCACATAATGTACTGAATGTGACTGTATTGTACAGTAAATATGACTGAATTGGACTGAATCTTATTTTATGACTGACTTGATTTGATTTGAATCTGGACAGAACAGAGTTCTGTATAAGTGGGTACGCACTGGAGCGCTTTGTCTTCTGAAGTGTTTTGAGATGACAGGCCTGGTGAGTCCTAAACTGAATTAAAGCAAACATCACTATTACTTCATGAAGCGTTTTTCAAATCCAGGTCACTATAAACACATTTTAGAGGAGGAAGTTAAGGAGGAAAATAACTCGATATTTTAATTTTATTCTCATAAGGATTCTGAGGAAGAGACACACACAAAAAGCCCTTCAGGTATGAGCTGCTCACTCAGAACACGTTTATGAGGGTAGCTCCAGTTTGTCTGGGCTCTTCACGGTCTGCTGTTCAGTTTATGACACCTGAAAGTGTTACTGGCAACAGATCTAGGGGGATTTGGGGCCAGTATGTTGCTCAGGCAGATGACCAACCAGATCTGTGGATCACAGAGGAAGCGAGTCGTAACAATGTTTCTCTGGCAAGAACTCATTTATTCTGAGTCGTGGATGCCCAGAGCCAGGAAACTCATTTTCCCTGTTAGACCCACAGCGGCACAAGAGCGCCCCCACTGGCAGGAAGATACATGCACATGACAAATACGTCTATATACAATTAAAAAACAAAAAACAAAAGACAAGACCAACTCTGATTGAAAAATAGGGGTGTATTCTTAGGCTGGAATAGCATTGAACCATCTCCTGGCCATTCCCTAACTCTGCACTCCACTAACTCGGCCTTGCTCTACACAGTTGCTTCATCAGCCTCTAGTGTCAGCTGGAGCTGCTGGGAGGTGATTTTTGGGTGGACAGGGAAGGTCAGACATGGCCTTCTCAGTAGTTTTAATAACTGGGACAACTGTCTGGTTAAAGTAGACACCTGCGCAGTCAACTCTTTAATTGCAGCATAATTAGCTTGCAAATCAGTGTCATCTTTGTCTTGCTTTGAATTAGTATTTTCAAGTTGGGCCGCACCTACAGTCACAGGTAGAGTCTTCGATGCTAACCCAAGATGTCTCAGTCTCTCTGCCTCTTCACTTGTAGACTTTGTGATCTGTTCTAACAGGAAATCATCACTAACCTGCAAGTCCTGAAGGAAACGTTTAAGGTCATGCCTGACATAACTGTTTATTTCATTCAATCCTTGGTACAGTGTGTGCAAAAATTTACCCTGTACCAGTTTCTTATCATAGCTAAAATCTGGCCCAGGTTGCACTGACACGAAAAGGACACCTTCTTAAGTCCCATCATTCTGTAGAAAGTGCTGTGCACTCTCTTTCTCTTGTTGCCTTGCATTACTTAAATCTTGGAAAAGCTCAGTACTATTTTTATCTCTGATATGTGAGCGGAGGAACCACTTAAGTTCATCGATATTTAAATCACATTTGTTAGACAACATTTCTTTGAATGTACCTGTCTTCATTATCTGACGATTGTGCAAATTATTTCCATGTCAGTACAACCTTCCTGTAGTCCTTTGTCTATTTGTTTACATAGGTTACTGTATGACACATCAGAACCAAAATCAGAGATTTGTCCAACATGAAGCCTAAACTCTCTGCATGGAAGTAAAGCTACAACATCATTTAACCTCAACACCTTGTCTCCTACACTAGGAGAGGGGCTCCTCTTACCAATTTCACTTGCTGTTGTTGGTATGTCAGCAGAGGAGCCTCCTGCTGTCTGTCTTGGCTGCAAGGGAATGTCTGTATCTGGAGTAGCTGTCTGCAGGCCTGAGTTGATGAAGTCCAGCTGAAGTGAGGAATGATAACCAGTCTGACCGGCTGGCACATTATCAGTTCTTGACAATGTGGTTGGGTCATGTCCAACATCAGTGGCGAACCTTCATCCTCAGGCCTTTTCAGTTTCTCACTTCTAACAAAGTCAATAATCAAATCATACAGTTCTGGTTCACTTAAATCATGAGCATGAATGGCACTTCCATCATCAATCAAAGTCACAACTACCTGCAACTGTTCTGTACTCAATATACAAAATGTTTTCTGTATCTTGAACATGAGTGTTCGCCGTGGATTGATGGTAGCCATGCTGACGTTTCACCGGTTGCTTTGGCTCTCTTGATGATGCACGCAATGCAGGCTTCCCTGAAGCCTCAGGAACTGTCTCTCGCCGTCTCCGCAGCAACCGCTCCTGGCAACGCACTTGGGATCCCAGACGAGCCCCCAATTGTTACTGGCACCAGATCTAGGGGAATCTGGGGCCAGTATCAAGTGGTGCACAGGCAGATGAATCTTGTGCAACCAGATCTGTGGATCACACAGGAAGCGAGTCGTAACAATGTTTCTCTGGCAAGAACTCGTTTATTCTGTGGACCACAGAGGAAGCGAGTCGTAACAATGTTTCTCTGGCAAGAACTCATTTATTCTGTGGACCACAGAGGAAGCGAGTCGTAACAATGTTTCTCTGGCAAGAACTCGTTTATTCTGAGCTGTTTCTCAACACTCTAGAAAAGCAACCCTAATCCAACAAGTGCAACCTCTTTAAGTGTGTGTGTGTGTGTGTGTGTGTGTGTGTGTGTGTGTGTGTGTGTGTGTACGTGCGTTTGTTTGTAATTCCTTGTGGGGAAGATTTTCCTGACATATACTACGTTGTGGGGACCAATTGCTCCTTGTTGGGACTGAAGCATGGTTCCCACAAGGGGAAACCCTGTTTTTGGGTCAGGGGTTAGAGTTAGGACTAAGGTGTGAATTGAGTTTTGGATAGGGTTAAGGTTAGGTATGTGATTGTTAGGCCTGTAAAGGTTTAGGCTGTAGAAATGAATGGAAGTCAATGGAAAGTCCCCACAAAGATGGCCACATAAACATGTGTGTGTGTGTGTGTGTGTGTGTGTGTGTGTGTGTGTGTGTGTGTGTGTGT